CGATGAAATCCCACGGGTTCCTCAGTGAGGGCTGAATATGCCTGAAAAGCCTTCACAGCCAATCACGGTATGCTTAAAGTTCCAGAAAAGGCACGTGACTACAAATAAGAGACTCGTATTGGTTAAATGGCTTTCTTGAAAAGTGGGAAACTTTCCGACGTCATCAAAAACTGTAAAAAAACCGATTTATTTTAATCATTCGAATATATTCTTTGAACGTATCATGTGGTCTTACACATATTTAAATTGTTTCCAACTCTCCGTTTCTCGAGTCGATAACAAAGCAGAGAAAAAATGTTACGTCACATCGAGGTGTGTCTTTTCGTGCGAAAATGTGCATCATATTTCTATCCGTCAAGTGCTTTGCTTGAGTTGCAGATACTTATACCCTTTCTGAATGGATCGCCACCACCAAAATTACGCTTGAACTTCTGTTGATTCTTCATTACGGACCAGATGCTCATCCAGAAGCAACTGGCTGTTTCACACTATTGCTTTGAATGCTGTTATTCCCAACCACGTAAAGATGCAGTAAACGTTTGGTCTGAAAGTATTGTTTTGGGGGTAAATTTGTTGGAAAATTACATGATGAGAACTGCATGCTGTCACACATATTATTTGAAATAAAGCCATTATCATTATTTTTATGATTATTATAAAAAAAATGTAATCCACACGGTCTAGTTATCAAGAATTTGATCGTTCATTGATGAGATAACGGAAGAATTGATACAGATCAAGGAAATCCAAATAAGATAATCTATGGTTGCTAAAAGTGAAACAATCTGCTACTTTTTGAGCATCCACACTTTCTTACTGCTACACTGAACCATCCAAAAAGGGAATAGAAGGGTGGAAGCAAGTAAGTGTTTGTAAATGTAAATTGAGAAGGATCCCACCCTTACCCTTGCTACAGCAAAGCAAACTATGCGGCGGTGAACCGATGCCTGTCGATAGCAAAGTGGCCCCAGGAATGGAGCACCTCATCCATCGACGAACACTACGAATTGGTAAGCGACATAGTTAAGAGAGTCATCTCTACAAACGCCTCAGTAGTCACAGAAATATCAAGGAAGTGGACCTCACAGCTAAACGCCTCTTGAAGGCCGGAAGGGAAAGCACGGGATAAATGGAGGACCACCACGAAGGAGTCGGATCATAGGGCGTTTATGACTCCAAGGAATTGATACAACATCAACTAAGGGGGGAAGGAGGTCGTTCCAGACAAACCCTACTCAGAAGCTGGAGGCCAACTCTGAGGATCTATTTCGATTCATGGTGGAGAAACTCGACCAGCCGGGGAGCTTGAGATATGAAAGGCCTGAACGGAGAGATCTCTGGACTGGAGACTAGCGAGACTTTTGACGCCACCTACAACACACAACTTGATATCCCGTCATCTAACCAAAATCGTCAAGAGTTGCATGGAATACAGGTAACTCATGCTATAGTCATCGAAAAAATGTCAAAACCCAGTACAGAGGAATCATCGGGATGCGATGCGATGCGATCACCGTCTGCGTTGAAAGCACGTGCAGGCGTCTTATTCAGCCCGCTCTGCAATCCGTTTCAACACCACCTAGACGAACACATGTCAAAATGAGAATAGAAACGTGCTACTCTCTCCCATCTTCAAGGAGGAGACAGGCAGAACCTGAGGTGCTATATACCTATGGCGTTCCCACCAGTGTTGTGGGAAGCAATCCAAAGAGCTGTAGGCGAACATGTCAGAGAGTGTTTGGACAATAGGGGGGCACTAAGTGATGCTCAACACGGTTCCCGAAAGGCTAGGTCCTGCTCCTCAAACCTCCTGACTACCGGTCATAACTGGATGGCATGCTGAGACCTCCAGGTCCCGGCCCATGTGATTGCCCTGGATTTTGCGAGCTCTTTGATGCAGTACAACACACCATTCTCGCTCGCTAAATACCAAGGTTGTGTGTCAACGGTCAAGTGCTCTCCTGACTGCAGGACTACTCAGGAGGCAGAGAATTCTCCATGAAATTCAGCAGGATTCGCTTGACTTGGAGGGCATCATCATCTGGTGTGTGAACCGGAGGGATTCCGGCTCCTTTGTTACTCCCTCATTTTTTGAATGACTTCCTAGTGGGTATCAACTCCCCGATTTCACTTTGTGCTAGTGATGTTAAATTATGAAGAGCTGTGACATCCAGAGCAGAATCAAGATCACTACACAGTGATCTCAGGTTGCTTGCAGAGTGGATGGATAATGATGGACTGGCATTTGATCTGGATAAATGCCGAATTACATTTCTCCGCATCCATCACCACCAAAATGTATTCTTCTCTTCCTGTGGAACGCAATCTTCTGCCACCACGGTGAAAGGCTTACGACTAATACTGACTGACGAGCCAAACGCCTGCCCCAATTATTCAGGAGTGCCCACGCAGTACTGCACTTCATGCACAGACAACTAGGTGCCCCCACTCCGGAGCTCTTCCTGAGGCTGTACAACACCTACATACAACCTCACTTCGAGGTCCACAACGTCATTGCACATTGCACCACATCTGGAAAGAGATGTGAACCTCCTGGTGAAAGTACAGAGGCGAGCAGAAAATGGTGTTGTGGGAATGAGGTAAAAACCCTATGAGGATGGACTGAAAGACCTAGAGCTTTACTCCCTGAGCTACAGTAGCTGACGCGGTGGCTCGATAACAGCTCACAATATGTTGAAGTAATCCAAGCCATCCGAACAGTGGAGTCCTACCGAATGTTCAATGTCGCAATCAATCCCCGTGATGGCCCAGGTCGAATCTGCCATCAGAGGGCGAAAACCTGTATGTGCTCACACTTCCCTCTGCAAGTTTATGGCCACTGGAACGCAATGCCTTCCGGGATGTCTATGGATCCGTCTGCAAACAGCTTCAAGAAGAGGTTGAACAGCTGCGCAGCGACTCACGGTTTTTGTTCATTCAGCTGGGATACAGACTAGATTGGTACAGCCCTTTACTCCTACACAGTGCAACGTAGTCAACCACATACCGAATCCCTTTCACCACCACTTTTATCAGTTAATTTAATCGACGTTTTTCTTTTCAGAATACTTTTTGATCAATTACATGGCGCGAAATGAAATTTTTTGAAGCTCTTCCTAGCAATCCGGCTTGTAATGGTACGTGCTCCCACAAAATGATTACAAGGTGGAACGTGGTTACGTCATAATGGAATTAATTATCCAGAGTGAACGATTTTCTGTAGTGATTATGGTAAAGAAGGAGGTCGTATATGCTTCTTTTGAACACATAGTGATGATTTGAGCATTGGAATTACTAATGCTCCAGCTAAGCTTAGATCTTTTAACCTTATTACTCTCCAGTGTCTTGGTCATACTTTGTAGAAAATTTTGAATAACCTACCAGAAGGGGTCGAATGTCCTGAGTTTACTTAGTGTTCTCTTACAGAGTTGATGATACGTTTCCATTCTACACTTGTCAGCCAGGTTGGGTAGTATTCTCCAGCGCGTTTCGTAATCTGGTGCATGTTATGGCTGATGAATTCGGTTCCATGGGAGTAAATAAACTGATATACACACAATGATACGGTCCAATGTTCCTTCGAGTACTGACGAATGAGTTCCTGATGGGAGAATGTGATTCAAAGATTCTTGGCGAAAAACTTTTTTCTGTACATCTTGATAGTTTCTTACTGAGTATATCTGCCTTATTATCCCCCTTGAATTCGTGGTTTAACAGTAAAATTTTGGTGATAAATCAAAGGACTGATACATCGAGTAATTAAGATTCAAATTGCTGAGGGAGCACAAGTTTCCTCATGTTTTCAGATACTTTTGTAGATGAGCGCCAACAAAGATGAAACTCAGTTTCATGACTTCTTCATGACTGACTTTTAGTATCCTATAGAGGACAATAATCGTTTCAAAGTTACAGGAAAACCTTTCTGATACATCCCAGTAAGCATCAAAACTTGTTCCGAACCTGTCACTGTTAATTTACCCCCTATACTAAAAGAAAGTGAGAGCAGCCTGTTTGCAATCAGATTATTGGACCCATTTCGAACCTGGACACTAGATTTCGATCTACCGCTAGAAATCAAGAACTAAACTAATTATTATCCAGTGACCAATCAACAAACGCCAAATTGTATTGGTTGAAATTTAAGTCTGTTCAGAAAAACTTAAGCTTGGTGTGTCAGAGAACTATTACAAAGATGACAACCTAAACCACAAATACTAATCATCATCATATTAAATTGTTTATCAAAACTCTATTCTCAATGGATATTAAGTACCTACCATCCTTCAAATAAGATGAAAAATCTTTATGACAGTAGTAATAAATTTCATTTTAAGATGATATTATCGACGATACTGTTAGAAATGAAAGAATATCAGGCGGTTCACAAAGTAGTTTCTCATAGAAATGAGAGTAAAACCTATACCTTTCAAAGTGAACGTTCTGCTGTTTATATGAACCATGATCAAGAGTTGATAGAATCATCTGGCGAATATTTAGCGCTTAGTAAAAGGTTGACATTTGACATAGTTTATATTTGTGCAAGTCACAGCGTGTCTAAAAGAAAAGGGTTCCAATGTACCACATGAAAGACTGATAGAAGCTTCGTTGGAGTAGTTCAATCACCGAGAGGCCATTTCACCTGTTCAGAGTTGAGCTAATGACCGATTGATGCTGTGACAATCGGCTCATATCATCGAATTAGTTCAGATCGCCTGAATCTCACTAGACAACCTGTATGTCATGGTATGCCTAAAATATGATGATGAGCTAGCAAATGATTTACAATGTGCATGGTTCACGTTGACATTTCTCTCATGAAAGGCTCGTCAGAGCTTCTTCAGGGAAGTATTTCCTTGAGGTCAACTGCATAATAAAAGTAAATATATTTACAAGGAAAACATACTTTTATACACAATTTCAACAAACTATATTTTTCAGCTTCAATATATTCACAGGTGATAAATGATTATGAATTAAGCTTGGAATCAAGAAAATTGGAAATGGAAAAAATTCGTGAACAGCTTTCTCAAGCTAGACTTGAACTAAGCGATAAGCAAACTGAAGGTAAGATAGATGATACCGGTAGAAAACGATTAGACATTTATTAGTTTCCTGGATAAATTTCTAAGGGTTTTATGATTAAATAACGATCTATATGGTAGATAAAACAAAGCAGTAGAAGAAGAAGAAGAAGAAGAGGTGCACTTAGCAACCTTGAACACATTCATGCAGTAAGCGACTAGCCACACCCATTGTCTGACGGCTAATGGTACTTACTACCTGGCTATCCAAATCTCGGTAGATGAAGCGGTGTTTGAACCCATGACCCATTAGTCATTTTTTGAAATCAGTGAACCACAGTCTCACAAAGTAGAATAAAATAAAGAGAAGTAGATTGTTTCAACTTATCAAGTTTTGTGTTTGAAGAGTAACAAACATGGGAGGAAATTGAGAACTATAATTAAATGTACTGTAGTTCTGTTGTCGCGAAGGATGAATACATCTGTATCATTTTAAGCGATTAAATCAAGGGTTTTCAACGGTTAGTAGGTAACATCTTGAGGTCACCATTCAAGTGACTTATACCTGCAGAGACAAATCAAACTAGGAGCCAGTAACTTAATAAACCGGTTCTTTATTGATGGTTTGAGTGGATTCAGCTTCTCTTTAGTCCACGTATTTGTAGGTACAAATATGTTAACCAAAATAACTGCCTAAAGACACTATTATGCAAAGAAAAAAGTACTGACGTACATGAAATAACTCCATACTGTGTTGTAACAAGTCTACGAATATTCAATGATTATAAGAAACATCAATTATGTATGCAGTTTTTAGTACTGTATAGAACTTATCTACTACTTTGGCTAGTTTTTATGAAATGAATCATGTAAGTTCTGGATGATAGCTTGTGAATACGATTGAGAAGGAAAAGAAATCGGCCTACTTTTATTAATTGGTTGAGCTGCACATATAAGATCTTTTTTGTACAGTTGGACCAATTAACTGAACGAAGATGTGTTGTAGATTCCGAAACTTATCTTCCATCTCATTCGGCTCATCAGTCGTGTGTACCTACATCCTAGGAAGTGTAAGTGTCCCTACTGAGGCTTGAACCTCAAACCCATCGCTTCAAACCCTAAATGTCAACAGAAGTCACTCAGCAACGGGGAATTACAAGCACCAACAAATAATAATAATAATAATAATAATAATAATAATAATAATAATAATAATAATAGATAATAGCCATTGACCAAAAGGGTTGCTCTTATGTCTTTAGTGACATAGTGGATAACGCTATAGCGTTTCAAGAGATGGTTACTGGGAACACCATCACTTATTAGGGTGCAGATACATCCAGCTGACGTCCTGGATCCCACTACTAGATTCCACTAGATTATTTACAACAATGGATATCTAGGCAATATCGAGGCATCCTTATAAGTGCCTATATTGTCAACAGAGGTTGGTCAATTCGATACGGCAGAGGCAAACTACAAACATCAAGAAATAAAAATACTTTAGCTTAAAAGAACTAAAACAATACTCACCTAAATTAATCCTATGAAAGCTTAAAAATTCGTCGGAATATGTTGGTGTCTATGAATAAAACAAGGTGTCTATACTAGTGTTAGCTGATTTACATATCCAAGTGAATGTTGTTCAGATAGATAGATCATCTATGGAAGACTGAATTGAAATACACTTTTTATGGTATTTTTTGAAGAATCTAAACAGCTTGAGATTAAATGACACCAGTTTTAAAGGGCATATATCATTCAATCTGTTAGATTATATGAACTCAGAATTACAAATTCTATATGAACCAGATGATTGACTAGTCAATGGATTCAAAACTAGCAGTCAAATTCTTTCAATACGAAATAATTGTATGATTATCATTTGTATACATCTATGATGAAATTTCTATTCAATGTTCTTCGATTCATCTCTTACTCATTTCCATTGATAGGGGAAGTTTGTATATGTATACTATTTCATCTTCTCCTTTGACATATATGGACAGATTTGACCTACGTCATATAAATATGCATTTGTTAACCATTGGTCACATGTGTGTAAGTAGACTGAAGTAGATGGAATACAGTTCATCAACTTCATATTAAAATGAAAAGTGAACTTATAACCCGGAACACTACTAAATATGCTTAGTCTATAGGAGTAAAACTTGGGTACTGCCATAGACTATAATTCCGTATTAATCTGTGTATTAGAAATGTCACACAATGAAACAACAGTATCATTTACTGGATAACGTATCTGGACACAATTTATTATCCATATTTATATCAGAAGGTAACTCCACAACTTTGAGACAGAGTTTATTTAGTCCTAATTTTCTCTTCTTCTTTGTGACAAGAGTGACAGAGTTTTCCATATATCTGGGACAGGTGCAGAATCATTTCTGTTGCATGTATTTAGTGTTGATTTGATAAACAAAGACTCGGTTATCAATCTCTCCCGCACTCCACCCAACTAAGTTAGTTTTTAACGCTATCACTCTATCCCACCTTATTTTGCGTAACTGCGAACAAAGCTATCGTCGAGCTTTTTTCATAATTTCTTATTATCTTATTACGATCTAATAATCATGACTAAGAAAAGTTTTTGTGCTCAGATAGCCCTATCGACCCTGGTCGACCACTCTGACCTATTTAATTGACCTTCCAATCGACGCAAGGGATTTGGTAAACCAGATTATTCTGCTTAATTGCATCGATAGGATCTTTTAACCAACAAAGCTTGTTTCTAAGCGAGTTTGTTGGTTTAAATGCCACTTTAATCCCACCCAGCCTTATTGAGAATTCTTCGTAATGCTTCTGAGGTGCCTTATGTGTTTAGTAACACAGCAGACGCTTTGGATCCTCTCTCAATCCTGTCACCAACATTACCATTAGTAGTAGAATTATTATTCATAATACTGGTACTACTACTACTACTACTATTTTCTTCTCCATTTCTTATGAATTTATCTATAAATTTTGGTGGGTAATTGTTGAGGCACTAGGTATATCTGGACACCAATGTATTAAATTACATAAATGTTATCTCAAATATATATATATATATATATATATATATATATATATATATATATTCAATTGTTTTACTGTATCCAGATAAAGGTATCAATAAGGAGCAGAATAAACCTGGTGGTATACATTGTAAAATGAATGAGTTGGATGATGTACTACTCAAAGATGTTGGCAATCGTATAAGTTCATCTAATAAGTAATTAAATTAATTCATTTGGGGGCAGAGCTAAACAAATAAATCACTTTTCAGATGGCCATTGATAATCGATCCCAGTGATAGAGCCAGTGTATTCTTACGCTATCGAGATACAAATTATGTAAATGTTTTAAATCCAGAGTTTAGATAAGGAAAGGTAAGTGAATATGACTATTGTATAAATAAATAAAAAAAAGTATATCAGCTGTTTCGTCCTACCATGGGACTCTTCATCAACACACCTATGACCCCTTCAGGAGTCGAACTCAGGACCCTAACATTTTACAGAGAAGGCGTTAACCATCCAAACACTAGGTATGAGTTCAATGGTTCATAGTTGCATACATCATCAAATTCGGGATACAGAGTGACTATCATCTAGTATCATCAATTGGTATTCGTTACACTCCCCTTCTGGCTTACCTCACCAGTTTCTGCTTCTTATGAGAACTTTGGAATATCCATCTCTAAGCGTGTACCTAATGTGCACTAGACTGTATTTTAGTGTGAGGTTTTTGGGGGACTTAATTTTCTAGACGAAAATATCATCTAATGCTCATTAGTGACATGTTTCGAGATGGACATCCTGAAGTTCTAGTAACAAGCCGTGACCTATGGGGTTAGTCAGTCGGAAGTGAAATGGATACTAACTGAAGACCTTGGTCGAAAGTGGCGCTATATCGATATTTGATAGAAGTGGAAAACTATGGACCACTGAACTGCAACTCAGTTGTTAGATGCCTAAAGCCTTTCCTGAGAGATCTGGAGGTCATGAGTTCGATGCCTAGCAGGACTGTGGGTGCGTACTGCTGAACAGTCCCATACCAAGATGGTCCCAGGTTTTCAATGTTTCTTCAACTGATGTCAGTTTGTGTTGAATACTACCTAAAAATAAAGAATAACTGGTTGTCTGTTGGTTGAAGCTTTACCAGATGGATTTTCCAGTTTGCATACTAATCTTTATAATAGTTTCAGATGTTTTTACCTCAGGAAATGAGATGCACCCCATTTTTCAAACCTGCCATTAAAATCTTTAACTTAAAGTACACCTTTATCTAGGTAAATTGATAATTGTATTACAGAGGTAATTAAGGCTGACAGACAACCTAATTTGCAAATGGATTTCATAATAATAATCTTCACGTTACTGACCCGTCCCATATATTGACTTAGTTATTAGAACCAACTACTGGTCATATCTCAGTTTCCTTTCAATCATTTTATTCCATGTATTTTTCATAGGAATAGCAGTTATGTTACTAATCATTCTTTAATTGTTATGATACTTGTTATTTCCTGTTGCTATTCAGGGCTGAATTACTTGACGTCAGCTGTTCGAAAATGGGCTCCTACGTGGATGCCTTGATACTGCCGGATATTTATGATGCTATATTCATGTTAGTGACTAGCAGTAGAATCTAGGAGGCATGTCTCATCCTATTTGGGACTCGTCAGCTGGACATATCTGCACTTCGGTGAGGTGCAGATACATCCCGCTGACGAGTGCTAGATAGAAGGAAGCTTGCATTCTGGATTCCTCTGCTAGTCATCAACATGAATACTTATTCTTTATCTTACTAACTGTCGTTTCAAATGTTCTCGTATCTTAAGCACCGATTAGGCACTCTTGCAAAATTCATTCACTTTGTATGTGGGTTGTAATTCACCAAATAGCCTTATTAATATCACATATGGCACCAACAAAGGTCAAAATTTAACATCGCTTAGTAACAAAATGTGTTGAACTGTGAATCAGAAAATGATAGTAGCACTGTGTTAGAGACACCAAGTTAATCTTGCGTAATACAAACATTTAGGCATTATATATATATATATATATATGTTTATAATTCTTATGATTTTTCTAAATAAAGCATACAACTTATTTTGGTGAATATGGAAAAGACGGCAGATAAAATAAATGGGGGTTAATGAAACAAAAATAATGGAGTTTTCATGTTACAGTTAGTAAATCTGCATCGTTGATTGAACCGAATTGATAGTTCACTATTGGATTACAGGCTGCTGCACTGATGACAACACCTCTAAATGAGTGGTGTTGTTCCTAGCAGGACTCGAACCCAGAACCGACCGCTGTAAATGCTAGGCTACTGAGTCATGACAGTCGCCCACTGTTTGATAGCTAAAATACCCATCATTGATATCATAAGTGAAAATAACGACAATATCTAGACATCCTCACACCAGCCTATATGCCCATAATGGAGAGTCAGTTCGGTTCAGTTGACGACGGAGATTTACAAACTATCACACCAAAGACTATACTATTTTCATCATATAAGAAGTGTCTATTGTGAATCAATGGCCTAATGGATAAGGCTGTGGTATTTGAAACAATCGGTCCTAGGTTTGAGTTCTGGTGGGAGTGCAGGCAGGCAGGGACATAGAGCTAAAGCGCCACAAATACAGTGGGACTCGCTTCGTCCGGATTTCATTTCCAGTCATTATCCATTATTTTAATGTCAAGAAAACAATGGGATTAGAAGTTTTTTAAAGCATCTGAAAGGTTACCTATTGATACAGTGACAGAATGAACACTCTAGAGAAGATAGTCGGAGTTATGGGGATGTTGAATACAATGATATTCTCGAATTGGTAGAGGAAGACAAAAACCTAACACCATCGATCGCGTGAAAGTAGCGAAAAGTTAACAAAACTTCACTTAGTTAGGTAATAAGATGAAGACAACTCAGAAAATAAGGATAGGCTTCGACTATGGCAATAGGCAAGAACTTGATTCATAGATAATTAATTACCACCAGCACATATATAGTGGATAACAGTCTGAATGATATTACACTTAGTTATACGACACACAGAACAAAGTAAAACATCGTACGATTGAAAGAAAAGTATACAAGCGCCTCAGGGAACTTTCGAAGAAGCTTTTGAGTGATGGAGCAACCTATAATGAAATTAAATTAAGACGTTCACGTCTACTCTTCATGTTCAGTTCTCCGAAAATCCATAAGTCGAGTGTTCCTTCGAGACATATTCCGTCGTTGATAAAATCATCTTGTCACAAATTGGATCGTTGGTTAGCAGACAAATTGAAACTCATCAGAAAGAAGTTCACAAATCACAGCTTAAAGGAACCATTTAAATTCTCTGAAGAATTGGATAGATTTGATATATCAGGTAAATTCATGGTATCATTTGATGTTTCTTTATTGTTTACGAACATACCAGTGGATGAAACGGCAGACATAATCTGTCAACAGTCTAATCTACTGCCATTGCCGAAAACAGAACTCGAACAATTAGTACTCCTCTGCACAAAAGGTGTTCAGTTCTAGTTTAATAACCAACTATACTGTCAAATTGATGGAGTGGCGATGAGTTCACTGCTAGGATCTATCCTGGCTGATATACTTACGGCTCATATAGAAAGAATATATATGAGCTCTGAAATCAAGGAAGTGACATATTACTGCAGGTTTGTCGATGATACTTTCATTGTTTGTGGTAATATGAATCATGTGTCAAAGTTGGTCGACATCTTCAATCCATCTCATCTAAATATTAGTTTTACAATGGAATATAAAAGTGAGAAGAGGTTCAGATATTTGAGATCTGAGTATCAAACGAAGATGTGTCTGGTACAATTGAGAAAACTATCCACAGGAAAGACACATGGATTGTTCATTACCTTCGCTACAATAGTTTAAGTCCTGTCAGCTATACACGTGGTTTAGTCAGGACACTCTTTACTAGGATAAGAAGACTATGCTCAAAAGATAAACAAGAAGAAGAATTCAGTATCATTAAGAAGACTCTTATAAAGAACTGATATCCTAAGAAATTCATCATGAAGCATCGAAAAAAACTTATTGATAAAGCCAAAAATCCACCTGTTAAGAAGAAACCTGTTTTTCTTCATCTAGCATTCAAAGGTGACAAGATATATAGAAAAAATAGACAGAAAAATAAAAGCTGAGTTGAGAAGGAACTTCCCTGCTGCCAAACTGATCTCGAAAGTATACAAGTACTCAGCTCACGTTACCTTCAACTGTGTTTATCATTTCACGTATGTCTGTGGAAGCAAGTACATAGGACTGACCGAAGGAAGGCTGTCTACTCAATTTTATGAGCGTGTTCCAAGAAATCTGTGTCTGAAGTGTGGTAACGTGTTTGCCAGCACAATTGCCAGGCATCTGATGAAAATAGAAAATCAGATAGATGTTTCTCAATCCTTCAGGATAATCGACAAACAAGAAACGCCATGTTCATCACAGTTTGTGGAAGCTCTTGTCATCAAATATTTTCAACTTGACTTATGTACTCAGAAAGGGACTGTAAATTAACCTTTTTTATCCTGATAACTGTATATAATCTTTCGCATATGTATATGTAGTCTTCCTTTGTTGATTGCGTCATATCTGACTGTTAACCACCCAACGACTTTCCAGTTCTTTCGTATAGTTACGTAACAACCCTTTCTTTCACTCTCCTGTTTGTTTGTTGTTCCCTCCTTTCCACAGCTCAAGAATTTTTTAATTAATCAGATATAAATTGGCACTGATTTTGGCTAAGATTTGTAATTATTATTCCTGTGTTTCCTTGACTTACTCACTACCTTATTGTTAATCGTGGATTTCAAATCTCAATTTATTTCTGCGTGTTTAAAGTGTGTTATGTCATTATTACTACTGAAACTTGATTTCAGTTGTAAGCTGATGAAAAGCGATGAAATAAAATGAGCTCATTTTATTCTGTAAATATCCATATATTGTTCAAAAGTAGATTTTTTCAAGTTGTCAATTTTATGATAGAAAATTAACAGAATGGAAGAACAGTAAAAACAGACAAGTAGTAAGCATATAAGAGAAGACAGAATAAGTAAATGAATATCATGATTTAACTACCTAAGATAGCGTAGTTTGACAGATTAGTATTTGTATTGGTTGATGATTGAAGGTGAGATGAAAATCTGGACTGTGGCCAGATTCGAACCAGCGACCACCGGTTTACCAGCCCCGATAGCCTACTAACTGAGCTGCGAGTTCCAACTGTTGACCAGAATTTTATTTCACTTCAATCATGAAGGAGTTTTGCCCAACTACCATAAGAATTCATGACACGTTACTATCACTTGAACGTATCCACACTGGCTGTCTAGTCAGAACTTCTCATCCCAGTCCAAATCTAAATGAAGCAGAGAGGGGGAGCATCATATTGATTATGATTTGACTATGTAAGATAGCTGTAGTTTGACACACTAGTATTTGTACTGGGTGATGATTGAATATTAATCAGATATTCAAAAACGTGAAGTTGACAAACACTGATTACATCTACACTCGTATGATTAATTCTATTCCAATTCATTGGAAATTATTAATCATCATTTCTTGACACTTCAAACAAACTTAATTAGATCGAAAGACACCAAGGATTTATTGCGGTTGAGGCAAGTTATTATATTGTCAAAAGTATGGTAATTTTTAATACTACTACTAGTAATGATAATAATAATAATAACAATAACAGTAATAATGGTAATAATGACTTAATTGTCAAAGATATTTCTGTAATTGCATCAGTTGGATAAAAACAGCTTATATGTAAATATAATTAAATAAGTGCACCACGATGCTGAGCCTTCTAACTTGGTGGTGACATTGCAAATATGATCGACAGGATTCGGTCTGTACTCAGGACTAAACAGGATGAAATTGGTTTCTCTCCAATGACCAATCAATATATACCTTCTAGTTTCAAAAGGGTTCAATTAACCTTTCAGATCGACAATAACAGACTTCATGTTCTAACATTGTAATTCTTAAGTTTTTCAAAGTTCATGCTTTACCGGATAATATCATATAATAGGAGGTAGATATAAGTTATCATGTGTAGGATATATCCAGACGATTCTACTCGATAAACGTTTCTGATTTCATCAAATAACCCCCTGAACACAATAACATATCTAAATCAAGATTGTTTGATCCTATTAAGATAGGGAATGTAGAGAAAAGTTAGCCTATAGCCATTAACGCAACTGCGCACAACCACACAACAGGATAGGACACAGGGAAAATTAACATAATGAAGTGGATGAAAGAGATTGATGATCGAATCTTTGTTCATCGAATCAATACCGAAAGGAATAACTCAACAGCTATGTTTGGATATATTTAGAATCCTACCACGTATATCACAAAGAAGGCAAGAGAATTAGAACCATATAAATCATATCACAAAGTTGCACAGTTAGTCGTCTTGATATGGACAATGGACAGTAAGTTTTACCACCATCCAAAATCTTGCAAAGTTTATTTACGCTCAGCAGTAATCCCTGTGGGTGTATGAGTGAATTGTGTATTTAAATATGAACAGAGGGAAATAAAATTACTGCTGCATAGTGGCTAGATAATAAATGTATCTTGAGCTTACTGGGGATTTTATTTATTTCAAGGGGGTATTCATCACTGACTGACATCATTTAGAGGAACATCGAACACCTGGGAGCACTGAACAGATACCTTAACGTAGTATAGGACTCCTCAGAAGTACATAATCCAAGACCTCGCTAGGGATCAAACTCACGACCTTCTGTTGTCTCAGTGAACGTGCTAATCATCCAGTCAGTGGGTCAGAGTTCAATCGCCCAGAATTTCCTACTTCCGCGATATAACGTGACTATCATCCTAGGTCATCAGTTGGCATCCGCTTCACTTGGGACTGGTTAATCCCATATGTCACAGCTTCTTATCTGGAAGCATGAGCACCATAAATATGAAGAAATAACCGACGTAAGAAACTATTAACGTTTAAACTCCGATCGAGTGACTAAATGGTTAACACGTTCGTTGTGAAACCTGAAGGTCGTGAGTTCGACCCGTTATGGATCGTGAGAGCGTGAAGTTTGTTTCCACAAATATACCAACCGTACAGAGGAATGCAAATAAAATTTAATTCAACTCATCTCAATAATCATATTATGCTTCAGTTGTCCGTTTGTAGAAAATTGTTTTGAAAGGAGTTTTTGCCATGAACTGCCTTCAGACAGAGAACCATTGAAAGCTTATGAGCACTGAACAACTATCTCACTCTAGTTCGGGACTCTTCAGCCATCCACATCCACGATCCTGAAAGAGATCTTGCTTATGGCCTTTAGGTCTCACAGAGAGTATCTTGCCATTCAACTACTGACCAGAAGTTCAACAACCCTCTAGTTCATACTTTGGTCTATTTGTAATATCAGTGTGACTTTCTGGGATGGTCCCAGTTTGAGAGACTGATATTATTGACACTGGGTAGTGATTGAAGGGGAAATGAAAATCTTGGTTGTGGTAGGATTCAAGCGTTCAGTCATTACAATAAATAAACAAATAAATATCTTTGTTCTCAAGTTATCAATAGTGCTAGTCTGCCGAACTACGGTTATCGCAGATATTCATAGTGATAATCAATATAATTGGGAAAAGAAGACCTGGCTGGGCAATCAGTCAGCGTGAATTTGATGAAGAAACAGTTACGCATCTCGAATTTATATGAGAAAACCCGTAGTGATTGAAATGGAATTAAGACCTGGTAAAAAGCTAGGTCACGTAGGTCAGTTGTTAGAAGTGAGGGCTAGTATTCGGGAGGCTGTTGGATCAAATCCTGCTGTGACCTAGATTTTTATTTCACCTTTACTCATCGCCTAGTATTGGTAATACAGCACAAACTTCATCTAGTGTCATTTTAATGAGAACATTCGTAACAGTTTGCATAACTTATTCACATTTAGGCTAAGAATTTCTCTTCTTGGTGCTTTACGCTATGGTAAGCCATTTGTATTGGACTTGATGGAAGTTGACGGTATGTTTGACACCGTCTGTCGAGACAGATTCAATGCCATCAAACCATCATTGTTGGATGATATAATTAAAAAGAAAATACTACATGCTAATGTGTAAGTGTACACACCAATATTTTGTCCTTAACTTACATATATGCATAAATACAAATACACTGACAGTATTGTCCTTATATATATATATATATATATATATATATATATATATATATTGACATTTTGTAGTCTACCTGGCGACTAGCAATGGAATTCAGGACATACGTTTCGTCCTCTTTGTGAATCATCAGCTGGATGTACCTGCCAAAAGGTGTCGAACAATTCAACTTAGGATAACAACAGGAAATTAAAAGTATCAATAAATAGACATGGATCATTTTAAGAGCTGAACAAATCAGCGTGTACGTTCTCAAGTGAGGGAGAAATATAAGATTCGAAAAATTAAAATAAGATTAGAAAGTCAGCAGGAATAATTTTAAAGGAAATATCATGACGGAGAAGTGTTTTTGTGAGTGACTTTTAAGTCCAACCAAACAACTATTGAGATAACCAATTAGGTTTTCCTACTTCATGAAAACCACTTTTCTAGACGAGACACTGAAACCTGATTGGTTGTTTCCGCAGTTGTTAGTGTGACCTTGAAAGTCGCCTTATTTTGTTATAGCTTGAAGTAAGATTGCCATGAATTTCATAAAAAGCGGTATATCGCAGACGACTTTTACAACCAATTGTTGCACTGAAGTTTCATGAGAAAGCACGTGAACCAGCGTATAAATATCAGATTGGCTAACGAGACAAAAATCAATAGTCCTTGAAGTTGTCAAGGTCATTCTAAATATAAATAAAGCCTTCCGTTTGGTATATATTTTTAACGTTGCAATACACCTGTTACCTTACCGTCTTTTCCACTTATCGAGAAAGTGAGCAACCATCAATGAGTGGAATCTGAACGCTATCATCTAAACGTCTTGATTTATATATAAATCGGACTATAGCAGGTCACTACAAGAACATAACAAGTGATAACGAGGTTATAATAAATGGTGACTGAGGTTATAATAATTTTAAACGCTAAACTAGTCGGTCATTGAGATGCTTTTGTCAGCTAACTGTGACTTACAATTCATTACAGCTCATTTGTCTGTTGATTTTTACACCACTGGTCAACTATTTCGTGATAATGTCACCTAGTGGTCTTAATTATGATTACTGATGGTTTTAGTTAAATTATAGTGTTAAAGTATTATTGCTTGTATTATACCGTTGTTGACTAGACCAAATTGATCAGTCTTTATTGGTATATGAGCTTCTGTGCGTATGCCTTGATAATCTTTATGTTTTAATTATATGTAGTAATGATGGATAGTGACTAGCAGTGGGATCCAGGATAAGCATATACCAACAGACACCGATTAATTCGGTCCAATCAGTGGCGGGATAATGCAAGCAATAATACTAAAATTATACCCATCTCACAAGAAATGTCTACCGTGGCTCGGTGGTCTGGTGGATAAAACTCTCGCATTTGAAGCGATCGGTTTCGAGTCCGAATCCCGGTGAGAACATCACCACTCACTGAGAGGTAGGTACATCCAGCTGATGAGTCCCACATGGGCATCCTGGATTCTACTCCTAGCAACTATCCATCATTACTATAAAGTTAAAGATTTAAAAACAATATGATACACAGTCGGTCAAAATATCAAATTGTCAATACATAACTTAGTCACAATCCTGTAGATATTACTTAAGACTGTTAGTAAGTAGTTGTTTTATGAACAATTCATTTTGAAGTTTTATGATTATTGGTAGTTTTTCAAGCTGAAAAAAAATTGTCAAGTTCGCTTGAATTTCATTTGACAAAGTGCATCAGTAAAATGATGAAATCACTGGAAACAGAATTACATAAAATTCAACTGGAAGTATATAGAAGAATAAATAAAAAAGAAATAAAGGTTAATACTAATCATAAATATGATGGGAAATGAAGGTAATTTTGTCACTGTCATAGATTTTAAGCGATTTCATTCCCAATCCCTTCATATTGCCTAAAAAAGTTATAACTTTCCTAATCTTGTTCAACTTTACCGGGATAACTTCAGCTTAACAGAACTTTAGGCAGTTGAACTGCTAGGAATAATACAACTTTTCTTAACTCAGCTTACACTATTTCATAAGAATCTAACAGTTAAGTATACTTCTGATATGTCTCAGTATTATCATCATAAGTTTACGGATAGCTAAAACTGTTCTGGGAACTGCATAAAATATTTATTGCTAAACAGTTATACTTACAGTTCACCAATCATCTTTGCTTATAAAAATATGAATGGCTTAATTACCCTTGTGAATATTCTTGCAGTAAGCAATAAATGACACCAGTTGTGTGGGGGGTAATGAAACTACCTGGCTGCCAAAATCTCGGTAGGTGGAGTGCTGCTTGAACCTGTGATCCATTGATTGAAAGTTAACTGCCAACAGCTTCTCTTTCATAATGGCAGTTCTGTCTTCCCCCTATATCAGCACGAATTCACTGACCATCACTTTTTTATTGATAATATGCCTACAATATAGAAACTGTACAGTTTATGCATCCCTTTATGATACCCTTTATTTTCTCCCCAGACTAATTGATTGTAATCAGTCAAGTTGACTTTTAGTAGGTTTGTGCTTTGATAGATTCCTTTCTATGCCCTATTTACATTGGTCTAAAATAAATCAGCGTGCATCTGTTGGATTGAGTGGAGATCTGTTTACTACTTCGGCTTTTACCACTATAGACCAATTACTAGACTAACCCACATTTTTGACATTAACAAGACCTCCCAGTATTTTCATCCTATGAAAATAGATTCGCCAGTTGAAGCTTTGTTCACTTTACATTTAAGCATCGAATTAGGCAATAGGTTAAGTTTTTGCAAATTTACGTGCTATAGATGTTGAAGTAGAGATTAGATTACTTTCTAAATCTGTCAAATGGACTATAGTATGCCTGAATTTTTATGTATTTTCGATTTACCTAACGGCAAAATATACAATTTAAGCCTATTGTAGTCCAGTCTCACTGATGCCAATAATATCCAGTCAACTGGCCTCTGTTAATCCTTGAAATAGTTTTCTCTGTTAAGATCTAGTTTATCCTTGAATTTGTTCAACAAAGAATATGATACCGTTTGTTCTGGTAAGGAGTTCCAGTCGTTAACGATGGATTATATGAGAAGCATAAACTCACACTAAGTTGATTTGATGACCATGGTTTTTAAATTCTAATATGATGGCTTTGAAGATGGTCATTTCTTGACGGAGAGAAACTGTGAATAACAAACAGATGCGTTTGTCAAGTATAAACTGATCTTGCTACGTATAAATCCTCTTACAAATAGAAATACTCAGAAGTAGATAGTTAGGTGAGTTGTTTGCGGTAATGTTTCTTTCACAACTATTATTTCAGAAACTTAAGAATATAACATAATGGAAAATTTGTGTAAGGTACTGATCGTAAATAGATGTCTATGAAATCCTCTACTTTGCTGCTGTTTTCACTGTAAGATGTAATCTAGAAGAACAAATATAACTGTTTAGGACGTTTGGATGCAATAGGTTGGAAGACTGAAACCTTGGTTCTACACATTTCGGTATCTGCCACCAAGGCCTATATGCAGCTTCTCTCACGCAGCCGAACGTCGATCAAACGCCACTACGAGACTGAACTACTCAGTCAAGAAATGACTTCTTTTGAAGTTGGGTTTAACATTCTAATTGATGATTGGTTAGCTGTTGGTGTCTTGTTCTAGACACTGACTGCATTCTACTGATCATGTATGGGATGTACTGATCAAGCGGTGTGCCGAAACTTCAGTGATCTTGTCTGACCACAATGAGAATAAGAATTAGTCCACCTGAGATTGTAGACACCGCTTGGTAATGAATGCTGACAAACAAGAAAACTATTGTTAAAACTTTATTGTGATAATTTACTTGGCTAAAGCAAGCAGAGAAATCCAAGAGACATGTTTCGTCCTATTTTGGACTCGTCAGCTCGATCTACCAGCCCCCCAATGAGTGACGTTGTTCCCACTGAGGCACGATAGCCACCTCTTATACAACGGGCATTAATTGTTGTTATCTTCTGATAAACTTTTACTTCTCTATTATTATGCTGGGTCAAATTGTTCTACCTCTATTGGTATATGACCTCCTATGGGGATGGGTGGGAGGCTGGAGTGTCAGTTGGAACATCACTCACTGGGGTGCAGGCAAGTGCAGCTGATGGGCCCCGAATAGGACGAAACGAGCGTCCTGAATTACTCTGCCACCCAAAACCAAGTAAATTATCATAATAAATATTCAAGCAATATCAAGGCATCCCCATAGGAACCCATATGCTAACAGACGTGGAACAATTCAATTCATTATAACAACGGGAAATGAGAAGTATACCAACGAATAGTATTATTATCAAGACTGGTTGGTCTTGGTTCTCAATTATTAAAAGAATTTTGTCACAATATGGAGTCACCCAGCTCGGTGTATTGTTCCTTCAACAGAATCTAATCTGCACTTAGAAGTGGACGCTATGAAGTTGGTTGTAATTGTGTCACTGATATGTTTAAAATAGCCTAGGTAGAAATGATTTAACTACTGACTTTCCGTACACTTATATATTCCTACTTCAACTGCTGTTCAATATAGCCCTATTGAAATATCCGTTATATCCTTATTACTCAAGTTATGTGGTCAATACACAACAGTTTGCTAAGTAACTGTGTTTCCCTATGCGAATTCTCCAATATATGTCATATATGTTTCTTCATATTACTACATTTTACCAGTACTTAGTTAGGTGATGTTTACATTATGGGCAACAGGTGTTTAGTATGAGAAATCTCAGATAGGATTGATAAGACAGAAATAATAACACTACAAGCCGCGCAAATGATATACTTTTATTCTAATTATCAAAATGTTTCTCAAACATCATATAAACTCCTGACTTAAAATTTTTGAACAGACACTTGTTTTCTTTTCATTTAGATATGAATATTTAATCAAAGAAATGGATCCAGAAGAATTCTTGAAAAAATACTTTATTCCTTAGAATATTGATAAGTTTCTTTTTGTCGTGATCACGAAGAACATATTATTGAATAATTGTATAGTTGACCAATTTCTTCTTATCTGAATAGAATGAGCATACTTGTAACTTTCGATATGTGCATTTTATTCAATATTCAATGTTCAATAATTTTATTTCCTCAATGTATGCTTGAACACAAAAATGTCAGCTTTTAATGAACTTCTTGCTTTATTCTATTTTTTCTATGTAAAAGAAAACAAACTATCAAATTAAAAAAGCCAAGTCAATAGTGGTAGTAAATAAAAACATAACTGAAATTTATTTGTTTCGCGATACAAAATTAAAACAAGCAAAAAAAACGTTGAGACAAGCAGAATCAAAAATTCCCTAGAGTTCAATTAAGAAATACCTAGTGAATTATTGATATGATGTTGACACTACTTAAGGCCCTCTTGATTGTCAGCAGACAATGGAATAAGAAAATGTTCTCAGTTGTGGAAGTATATGCGATTGGAGTTCGTAAACCGAGTCTACGTACAAAAAGAGACAAAAGTCCCCTCTAGAGGTGTTGAAGTACTTTGAATTGATTTATTTTTATTTATAAATGTCTTATTTTTTTCACTTTACCTCTTCATTATTATGCTCCTGTACACTATCATGTCTTCTTGAACTTCTCCGCTTAACAGTTGAATGACATTATCTCTATCATTATTATTATTGTTATCGTCCAACTATTAATTTAGCCTCCTTTAGTTTTATACTGTTACCAAGCTTTTTATCTGATATTCATTTACCTTGATTCAAAATGATGTAATTTCTAATCTTTGCAATATTCATATACTCATTGTTATCACTATTATCACTCACTCGTACTATTACCATTATATTCAATAATTTTGTTCACCTAACACCTATGTTGTTTTAGTGTGTACCTTTATCAAGCTCTCCAGTTGTTCTGTTCGAAATATTCTGTTCATTATCAATTCGTTACTCTAACACAACCTAATCGTAGCTCTGTTTGACATAAGTAAATGATTCACTCCGTGTTGTCAAGCCTCAGTCAATACCTTAGTCTGTATTATATATTTATGTATTCCTTTATTGCATATAACAGTATATAAAATCATGGTATGTAGAGGAATGGCGTTTGTTGCTTGTTTCAAAAGATAATTATGAAGACTTTGTAATGTTGTTTGATGCAAATGAAAGTTTATAACCTTATGAATATATAATGAACATCTCATACTAACAACTACTGATTTGTTAAGTTGTTACATTGTGAAATTGTTTCACATATTCCTTTCAATTTGCTTAATTCTCTTCTTTACATAAGAATTTAAAAATCAACTATTCAATCAACATGTATGTGATGATGGACATTACTGGGGAATGAGTAAATCATCATCATCATCATTATCAACATAGGACTAGGCATTACTGCGTAACGGTCCAAGTTGCCACACCTCATATCAGCACATCAAGTAAAAAGGTAGTGAGGTGAAGGATGAAGATAAGTGAATGCAGTCAAAAGAAATATAAAGTACGAGAAGAAAGGAAAGAGGAGTGACAAAATGGTGAGATTCGGTATGGCGTTGTTAAGATGAGGATAATGTGTGTGTATACATCTGCGCCACTGACTTCGGTTCTGAGCCATATCACCTTGGGTCTCCAACCACTGGTTCCTCCTGCCCCGTGGACCCCAACCACCTAGTCTGCATCGTCCTACATGGCTTAAAACAACAGTCAGAGACTTCATACATTGGTGCCATGTTTTAGTCTGGCCACCTCGGGCCTTTTTCCAGCCTGGACCCACCTGAATGAGTAAATGATAGATGATTATCCGAGAACCAACACCACTGTTCATGTTTATTTCATCACTGACTTTACAACAAACACAACACTCATTTTATTACTGAGAACACGAGAAATTTGATCGAATACTTACTCTTTGTAAGATTCATCAGGCTCAACAATTAAATACAGTCAATTTGTCAATTTCTGGTTTATTGATTCAATTAATATTCATGAATTATCATCACCTTTTTTATCGCCCAGATACACATTCTGTTCCAAGTTTAACTGGTGATTTTCGAAATATGTTAAGCCATTTATTTACTGACTGTGTAAACTCTTATTAAAAGAATTAGTTGACTACCAGTCCAGGTAATTTCCAAGCCACCTAATGCCAAAATTATGACATTTAAAGGTTGGACTTGAAGCTATTTTAACGGAAACTAAGTATTCACTGCATTACTCACTGGACAAGAAAACATTGAAATGATCTTAGCAACTACTTGTATGTTGGTCCAGTAGGTAATGAGTTAGACCTATTTTATGTGAAGACTAGTGATACTACCTGCCTTCTCAGACCTCGGGAGATAGAACAGAGTTTGGATTGTGGCTTAGTGTTTGAAATTTTGGTGCTTAGATCAATGAGCTACAACCCTCCCCCCCCCCACACACACACACACGCACAGAAACGCCACTCAGTATACTGTGCCTACTAATACAGAACTGCTATCTCATAGGCAAATGATATCTTATTTGAAGACCAAATTCCTCAAAACTGAAGCCATACCCCTCACTTTAAAATTCTCATCAAGGATTGATAACAGTTAGGTTGCTATTTTATCCTAAATTTAGATATCTCAGTAATGCATATTCACAACCCTGTAAAAAAAAGCACATTACCACAAAGTCACTATCTTTTTGAATACATCTGTTAACGAATTCCTACTTCTGTCACTTAGTGATACATAGCAGGTATTTTTCCACGCTTTTGTCGTTGTACAGTGGTTAAAGTAATCGTTAAGTAAGGTCTGCTACCTGTCTTGGGTAAAGGACTAACCGTCAGAAGCTGGTTTCCGTTGTTTGGTATCATGAAAAATCTTGCTTACTTTTAAGCTTTCACACTTACACCAACTAAAGTCATTATTTCAAGTTGATATTCATCGCAGACTGACATCAGTTGGAGGAACAACGGAAACCTGGGAGCACTGGACAGCTGTTTCGTCCTAGTATGGGACTCCTCAGCAGTGCGCACCCACGACCCCGACAGGAACCGAACCCGAGACCTTCAGGTTCCGTGGTGACTGGCTTCGATAGGTGATTCGCTAAGTTCCAATAAGAAGTCGTGACCAGTGGGGCTAGCCTAATGGTCGTCAGGACAGTTACTCAACAATGAAACCGGGTGGTGGATGCGCTATGTCGTGAACTGATAGAAGTTGGAAATATGAACCACTGGATTCCGACTCAGTGGCTCAATGGTAACGTGCTGGCCACGGGACCTAAAATGTCTCGGGTTTGATCCCTGGCGGGTTCGTGGGTGAGCACCGCTGAAGAGCTCCGTACCAGGACGAAACAACTGTTCAGAGCTCCCAGGTTTCTATTGTTCCTCCAACTGATGTCAGTTTGCGATGAATACCAACATGAAATATTTCGAAATCCCCACAACCTCCTAGGAATTTAAAATCGGTATTATTATGTTAGTCCATTGATGATAGCTACTATACAAGTTTCTGATAAATTAAGACGCTGTTGCACTGTGAGTATGGTTGAAGACCGAAATGGGATCGAATGAATGTATATAATAGGCGAAAGAATCACAACAAATGCCGATTGAAGTTTGCTCAGCTTGTGCATTTACTAGTCATATAAATGAGTGTTTTTCCTTCTATGCATTAAATGGTCTTGATTAAGTATTTTCTGACATCTTATCTTTACCATCATCGTTCCTATGAAGCTGGCAGAGATTTTCAGCCCTATTATGGTATATTCCAGTGAGACATGATTATTGAATATGGAGCACTAATGAAAGCAACAGAATTTTGACAGTTTTTGTCTTCGTAGTAACCTTTGAGTATGTTGAAATTCCTACGTATGCACCAGCATCAGTCAGTAGGTGAGGTTCACATGTAGGTATAGCACTGAGATGAAGAGCAAAAGGTGTGCTTCTCGACTGGATACCAGTTAACATCCATCTCTGTGCTGTTCGGTTGAATGGATCTGTAAAAACTAGGAAGGACCGTTAAACCAAACCATCCCTATTCATAATCTACGCCTACGTAACCACGGACTGCAGTTCGGGTGATGCAAAGGATGAATTCTCTGAAAACCTGTCAATTTTGTAACGGAAAGCAAAATGTTTAGATGTAGTCATAATGACAGGTGACTTTAACGCCTAAGTGGGGAGGCTGGGCCTGTCGGAAAGGTATCTTGGGTGTATCTGCAGAATCCCATGCCATGAAAACGACAACGATGGTCATCTGTTGCAATTTTGTTCCGACAACCACTCGTTTCTGGTAACCATAAACCTTAAGCATAAAAAGAGACACTATCTCACATGGTGATCGCCGACGTCAAACCAACGACGAACATAGTTAGATTACATTTCTATAAGACATCGTAGGAGAAGATCGTGAAAGATTGCCGCCATTCCTGGAGTACCAGTTTTGGACTCCGACTACGAGTTAGTGTAGGTTGGTGTATGTCTGAGCCTTACTGGCCGCAAGAAACAGGACGCAGCATTGCCTCACTACCCTCGATTGGTAGATGAGGACGGAAATACGCATCTAAGGAGGAGTTAGCTAAGCATTTATCTGAACGTAACGGAAAACTGGTGTGATAAATAGGCCGGCTGTAGAAACAGCGGTAAAGACAATTAGCAACCTACACACGGATGTTAGCGAACGTCATTAGATTTTCACAACGTCATCTGGATTGATTGATGCAACACTGAGTCCGACTGTTTCTGAACACGATAAAGAGCAGAACCAGCTTAGACGTAAGTTGACCAACCGTCTTCGCGTCGATCACGAGCAGTGGTGGGTGGAGGAAGTGAGAGGGATGGAGACGACATTCAGGGTGCGTAATACTCGGCAACTATTTAGGTTTATGAAGACCGGCAAGAGTAAGATGATGGTTAGCAAAACCATAACCGAAAAGGACAGAATGCTGATAACCTCCCAGTACATGCGGCTAGAACGGGCAGAACACTTTGAAGCACATTCCAACACTGGCCC